CAGACGTCGCCCCGACTTCCGAGCAAACGGCCGTTGGAGAAGCCTCTGCCGTCGCGCTTGGAACTTGGCAGCGAGAAAGGTGTCCGATGCCCTTCGATTCCGTCCCGCTTGTCAGGGCTCGGACAAAACAATCTCGACACGCGGTCACGACCGTAAGTGACGATGTGTCTGTGAAGGAAACGGCGTGGCACGTCTCGCTGCTCATGATGCCGTGACAGCAAGTTTCGGTTTGGACAGATAGATGGATGCTCGGCGTGGGTACAGGACAGAACGCAAGCCGCAGAAGGAGGGTGCTTGACAGAACGTGGAAGACACACGATGGCTTCTGTCCCCTCGTCGTCACACCTACTCATCGGTTCTCTTTCCTCTCTGATGCCTCCTCTCCGGTCTGGGTCTCGGGGGACCTGGGCCCCTCCTTTTTATCCCCCTTCCGTAGCACACACGGCCCAGACCGAGCCCACTGAGTCACGGCCTGGTGCCATCGCCGTGCCTTATGTATGTTGTGGGGACGGGGGGGGGAGGTGACTTGTTTCTAAGCAGCGGAATTGGCAAAGGTGAACGGATGTCACTCCTGACGTTATGTTAAGATGCAAGAGTCGGTCTCAGCAGACGGAAGATACGATCTTCCTGATCTTGAAGAAGGAAATAGTCCTGGTTGGGAGCAGCTTACGAAGGGGACCACGGGCAGCTGTAGGAGCGGAGAGGCCCGGCAGAAAACATGACCTCGGCCCTCCGATTTCAGGGACGTGAATTCCGCCGACAGTCGGAATGAGCTTCGAGGCAGGTTCTTCCCCGGTCTGGACCCCGGCTGAGAACGCGGCCCAGCCCACACGGCGATGACAGCCGTGAGAGGCCCTCCCGCAGAGAAGGCGTGACCCACAGGGACTGCGCGATGGTAACTGTGTGTTGTTCGAAGCCACCATGTCTGGTGGCAACTTGTTACACAGCAATGCACAAGTGCTGCGAAGACACACTGCACTCACGCCCGCTCGGCGCACGCTCGCCGGGAGCGTCTGTGTCAAGCTAAACTGTTTTCGAAAACCTGATGGATCATACGTCCGCTCCCTTGAGCGGGGACAGACCAATATTTATGCTCCTCTGTGTCATCCCTGATACCTAGAAATGGGCTGGATCCAAAGAGATATACGAGGTTCTCCTTAACCCGGGGTGTCAGCGACAAAGTGAGCGGCTCGGAAACTCTGAGCTCCCGCCAGTCCCTACGTACTCCTCGAGGCATTTTGATGTTCACAGTGACAACACGCTTCCAAAGTCTTCACAGACGATCAAGTCTTCGGCCTCAAGTGCCTCTGGCGACAGACGCCCTACGAAAAAGCCTGCAAATCACCGACATGGCAGCTGGTCCCAGAATGTGGAACGGGACTTTCCAGAGCCAAAAACAAGTGCGGTTGGGAAAATCACGCACTGGGCGCGTCGGTCCCGCAGACACACCGTCCCCCACCGTCCCGCAGCCAGGCCGAGCGCTTTCTAGAACCGTGAGGGGGCCGGGAAGCCCGGCCGGGGCGATGGCACATGGCCACGGGGAAGACTTCAGACGGGTCGGAGACTGTGCTTGCGCCTGGGGCGGGAGCCACCGCCTGGGTGACCTCCGAGTCCCCGTGCCCCAGCTCTGTGGGCTCGGCGTGTGCCCTGCCGTCTCCGCGGCCACTGGGAAGGGCGGCTGTGATGGTCCCGACTCCACAGGGATCTCCTCGGAGCAGAATCTGTGTGCCGTCAGGAGGGACGCAGGCCGCAGGGTGACAGTGGCTCCTCCTGCAGAAGAGCGGCTGGAGCGCTGTCCGTCCGTCCGTCCGTCTGTCCATCCGTCTGTCCGCGGGAGCTCAGGTATGCTCCCTCTCAGCCCCCGGCTCCATCCTAAGAAATGATGCCCCTTCCTTCCAAAGCCACAGCGCTGTGTCTTCTGGCCCTCTCCGTGCCCCTCATGGAAGCTTCTGGGATTTCCAGGGGTCACCACCAGCTGCCGCTCTGCACGACTCCTCGTGGGCTCCCTGACCCTCCATCGTCTGTGTGCCGTCAGGAGGGACGCAGGCCGCAGGGCGACAGTGGCTCCTCCTGCAGAAGAGCGGCTGAGGCGCTGTCCGTCCGTCCGTCTGTCTGTCCATCCGTCTGTCCGCGGGAGCTCAGGTATGCTCCCTCTCAGCCCCCGGCTCCATCCTAAGAAATGATGCCCCTTCCTTCCAAAGCCACAGCGCTGTGTCTTCTGGCCCTCTCCGTGCCCCTCATGGAAGCTTCTGGGATTTCCAGGGCTCACCACCAGCTACCGCTCTGCACGACTCCTCGTGGGCTCCCTGACCCTCCATCGTCACAGGGGCCACCGTGCGGCCCACCTGACCCCCAATCCCCTGTTGCATCTGAGCAGAGGCCGGGCTGGGCCCCCCGTCTGTCCCGAGGAGACAGTGAGCAAAGCAGCGGTCCCCCGCTTCTGCACGACTGTCACTTCCAGACAGCTGTCGTCCGGGACGACGACGCTGTCGGCTGTGGGAGGGAAAGCACACACGAGTAACGTGCCCCCCACGGAGCCCAGGGGCCGAGCCCTCTGCCCAGGGGACGGGGAGCCCAGTGGGCTGACAGTAATAAAACACTACGCATAAAAGGGGCGGCTTCTCGTGAGCCTTCACTTGTACAGACCCCCTTTTGATTCATGCCATGCCTTTGGTCAAAGAACAGGACGTTAAAACAAAGTCGCCATGACATTCTATAGCCAATTTGGAACCAGGGCTCCATTTACAATGTCAACATCACTGAAAAGCAGCCGAGGAGCACCAAACCCTCTGAGGTTTTGCCTTGACGTCTGCTAAAGTTTTGCCTTGGACGGGAGCCTCCTACCATTTACTGTCCAGCAAGACGCTTTACGAAGCCAATGTTCAGAGCTCCTGTAACGCAGGTGGTAATTATAAGGTAGTACGTACACCAGTACTGCCCTGAGCTCCTGCAGAAGAAAAATCTCACTAAGAAAAAGAAAAAGCCTTGTGATTTTAAAGGCCACATCAAGTGCTCTCCTGGTGTTATACTCCTTGGAACCATACTGGAAATGTCAATGAAGATTTTTATAGCTTCTGGAAACACTTTGGTCTTTGAAGTGTAATTAGCAATAAATAAAGACATCCAATGCCTGTCTTGTTACTTGGAAAACGAAATATAGTCTTTCGTATCCTTTCTATGTTCTTAATATTTGAAGAGAAGTTTTTGAATGCGAGTTTTATTTTTCCCATCTTATTTTACACATTCCTGGTCTACAAGGAAAAGGGTCTTATAGATAGAGAAACTTCAGGTACTTTGACATTTGGTAATGAAATGAAAAGCAGATGATTTACAAAAGAACCTGGACCCAAACCCACAAGAAACCACACGCATAAACTCACGTCTAGTGTGTCCAGTGGCCACAGTCAAAGACTTTGTAATACTCCCCGAATTCCCAAATAGTTTTAATAAAACTGGATTTGAATACAAAAAAAAAAGGCGGCGGGCGGTGGGGGGGAGTTCAGCTTCTTTCAAATGGCATGAGAATTTCACGGTCTTGCAGAGAAGCAGCCACAGCATCGCCACGATGAAAGGTGGGAAGGTAGGAACACTTTGCACCTTTACAGAGCTTCCCATCTTCCGACCATAGGTAATGAATTTTTTTTTCTATTTGATTAACTAATAACAGGAGCAGCAGATGGCTAGGTTTAAAGAAGGCTCGAGAATTTTTCTTTTCCTGTGTATTTACACACAGACACGCACACGCGCACACACACACACACACACACACACACACACACACACGCACACACACAGAGTAAACCGAACTGTCCAAGCTGGGCTAGGTTTAAAGAAGGCTCGAGAATTTTTCTTTTTCTGTGTATTTACACACAGACACGCACACGCACACGCACACGCACACACACTCAGAGTAAACTGAACTGTCCAAGTTCCAGAAGAACCCCAGAGCATCATTGTCACATGTCACCATAAGCGTCTCTGGACGGGCACGGGGGTGGCCTTACCTCACAGAAGCTCTGGCACTGCTGCTTCCACAGGTCCCAGGATTCCTTGCACGGCTCCAGGCACTGGGAGAGAAGGACAATAAATATAAGGACGTCAGCACGGACAGGAAACACAGCCCACGACAAAGAACTCGTCCGCGGGCCTTGCTTTCCAACGCTCATCTTCCTACGGAGGACATTAGCGGCTCATCTTAACTGCAGACAAGGTGAATGTGAGCGAGGGGATCATGGCAGAACAGGCACAAGAATGTGTATTTCGGGACAAGTGAAGAAGTATTGCACAGGATACAAGTGACATACAGCACAAGTGGTGACATCCACTCCTGGGCGGAACACCTTCAATAGAAATATGAATGCGATAAGAAAAGCTTGTTAAAGGTTGTTGTTACAGATAAATTTTTTTCTTATAAACTCTAATATTCACTTCTCATCGGGCAACACAGAGCTATTTTTATGGATATCGTCCCTGCAAGGGATTGACCGAAGTGGCATTGTATTAAAAAATATACATACATATATATGTACACACACACATACACATCGTTGCTAATATGTCTTCAGCTCAGTAAATTCAGCAACGTGAACATCTGTCCAGTCTAATAACTATTAAAATATACTGAGTAAATCTGAACATTAGATCGACATCGGACTTTCAGAATAGAGGATAATTTTTTAATATCTATGTAATTTCCTATCATATATATTGTAATACATCAGAGATAATAGTTATGCTCTATTGTTCAATAATAAATAGGGTACAATTATTAATAGTAATAATGTTGAATAAACAGTATAGATAGGTACATGTATAACATAGTTTATTCTTATATACAGTTCTAAATAGAATTATAATACACAAAATATAATACTATATGTAATATTATGGGAATAGTACTACATATACTATATACTAATAAATAAGAAATAGCAGCCCAGCCTCATGGTTGAAATTAAAATGTTACTTACATGCTATGAATATACTATATAGTAACAAAATTATATTTTAATGCAACTTTTAGTAAAAAATTATAGTCGCATATGGTTAAATGTCA